TTTTCTGTTATTTATTTGTTTCGTGCCAAAACAATAAAATAAATTTGTCTGAAAAATGTTATGCCTTCTATTTTTAAATAACAGCTAAGAATACTGATTAATTTTAGTAACACTACAATAACTATATATGACATACTATTAATGTGTATGCAGTATAATGCTGTGATTTGTAACACTACAATACAGTAATTAACTGTACACAGTTTCCAGTTAGTTACCACTGCTGCTCTATTACAGTAATTAACTGGCAACACTGTTGCCAGCTACTCACTGTATCGGTTCAGTTACAGTAAATAACTGGCAACACTGTTGCCAGTGTTCTACTGTAAAAAACCCTGGTAAGGTCTAACAGTGTACATACATGAGAGAGAAAGAGAGAGAGAGAGACTTTTCATTGATTTTATGACAAATAAATGCATCTCTAACAGTTTAGTTGCAGATTAAATAAAGTTGTGATCAAATTGAATTTTATTACTAAAATAATAATAATATAATAATAATAGTATTATTATTGGTTTTGGTCCCCCCCCCCTCTTTTTTTCATGTCATAATTGTTTTATATATTCATTGTGTATGTTTGAATTTTTATGGCATGGTACACAACTGTGTTACAAGATATGTTTGGATACACTGTAATCAAGATTTAATGACCTGCACTGTTAGACCTTACCAGGGTTTTTTACAGTAGAACACTGGCAACACTGTTGCCAGCCACTCACTGTAAAAGTTTGGTTACAGTAAGTAACTGGCAACAGTGTTGCCAGTTAATTACTGTAACTGAACCATTACAGTGAGTGGCTGGCAACAGTGTTGCCAGTTATTTACTGTAACTGAACCATTACAGTGAGTGGCTGGCAACAGTGTTGCTAGTTATTTACTGTAACTGAACCGATACAGGGAGTAGCTGGCAACAGTGTTGCCAGTTAATTACTGTAATAGAGCAGCAGTGGTAACTAACTGGAAACTGTGTACAGTTAATTACTGTATTGTAGTGTTACAAATCACAGCATTATACTGCATACACATTAATAGTATGTCATATATAGTTATTGTAGTGTTACTAAAATTAATCAGTATTCTTAGCTGTTATTTAAAAATAGAAGGCATAACATTTTTCAGACAAATTTATTTTATTGTTTTGGCACGAAACAAATAAATAACAAAATGTATAACAAAATTAAGAAATCAGCAGATATAAATATTGTCTTGCATATTACAGGTCTGCACAGTAAGGCTGCAGTCACACTAACATTTGAGCAAGCAAAATTCTGTCATACTGCACTGCGAAGTGGAATTAAACAAAGCGAGTAGTGGAATTAAACAAAATAATTAGAGATTGAAAAAGCAAGCCAGAGAGGTCATGTTTTGATCTTTGATTGGTATCAAGCAATCACATGATGTGATTTCGCATGTCAGCGTTCTCCAAGCTTGAACTTTCCAATGCTGCGAATTATGAAATTTGTCGCATGAGCTATCTTTCCAGGTCTGCAGTACTCACATGCGTATGAATGGAAGTCTATAGGGAGAAAAAGTGCAGTGTGACCGGGACTTTAAGCTGTAACTCTAATTAAACACACCTGATCAAACTAATTAAGGCTTGTTAGAAATCTACAGGTAATGTTGAAGCAGGGTTGGTACTAAACTCTGCTGCCCTGCAGTTCTCCAGGAACTTGGAGTTTGACCCCCATGGTATACAGCAGTGGTGCTCAATCCTGTTCCTGGATATCTACCTTCCTGCAGATGGCAGTTGCTACCCATATCAAACACACCTGCCTGTAATTATCAAGTGGTGTTCAGGTCCTAATTAATTGGTTTACTGTAGGTGTGTTTGAAATGAATAGCAACTAAAATCTGCAGGAAGGTAGATCAGCAAATGAACAGCAAAAAACACAACATAATTATTTTAAAGTTTAAAGTTTTAAATAATTAAAAACTGTGTTAAATCTCAATAAAAAGTTTAGTAAGTAATTATAAAAAATAAAGTTGGCAACACCGAAAAACCAAAGGATCCAATCTTTTATTGTTATAATTATCTCATGACAACAAACTTTATTATTGTTTCTAATATAAATTCATAGGTGGAAACACTGCTCTGAAAAATACTTAGCAACAAACTCACAACCTGGGACCGGACAGTGGAGCTTTTGTGTGTGGATGGCTATGTGTATCATGTTTTTGTGATTCCCTGTGATGATGTGCACAAGTTACCTTACTGAGATGAAGGAATTTATTTTTGGCTTAGTTGCCAGAAAGATACATACAACTGTTAGCATCTGTACATTATGGCAGTATGCAATATCCAATAAATACTTAAACAAAAGTAATGTAAGAAGTTATATGAGGAGAGGCTAACTAGCTAACAATGTAGCTTTCAAGTACACAGTTCAAGATAACAACAATATAACTTAAAACACAGCCTTATTTTAGAAACCCTCAAAAACATTTGAACACATTTTACTTACTCATTATAGATTCTTATTTAAAGCCTAAAACATATCAGACTCTACATCTGAATTGATGGACAGAGAATAGAGCGCACTCAGCAGTAAACAAATCAAACGCCTGGCTCCCTTAAAGGGCCAGCATTTTCTGAAAACTATTTCTAACACCTTTGTGTTTAGAATAGGACAGACAGCCTGTGGGAGTGTATGGTGATGCCTAAATCATTATTTTCTGCCTTTAAAATGCACGTCTATATAAATAGCAACATAAACCATCAGAGAATTTATTGGAATTAATTCTTTGCACTACACAATTTCATACAAAGTCTACTCCTTTCACAGTAAAATAATGTGTTAATAAATAATAAATGTTTTCTTTTATTACAGCAAAACACTGGCTATTTTGCAGTTATTTACTGCACAATCTACAGAGTAACAGTGCAGTTATACTAATTAAACACACCTGATCAAACTAAATCTAAAGGTAGTGTGTTGAAGCAGGATTGGAACTAAATTCTGCTGGGCTGCGGCCCTCCAGGAGTTTGACATCCTTGGTACATACTGTAGCATATTTTCAAAGGAATTGCCTACATTTATCACAATCATGCACATATCATTGAATAAAAACAATAATATACAAACAATATACAAACGTCATCCAAAGCAAAAAAATAAAAAATAAATAAATATTCTGATCCTCATGTTGTTCCAAACCTGTAGTAATAATAATAATAAAAAACAAATAACCTGATTAATACATTTATTTAGGAAAGTCTTTATACTATACTGTTAATGCCATTTTTACCTACTTCATTTGAAGTTTTCCAAACAAATTCATTGAGTCTCTGCGAAAATGTATGTACGTGCTGTTTAACATATTTTTTAAATAACACATTTTTACTAGTTAATTAGCAAAATACTAATATTCAGCTTAAAGTGCCATTTAAAAGCTTAACTATAGGCTAAACTAGGCAAATTCGATTAATTATATTGAAGTAAACAAAGTTATAAAATGATTGTGATAATTTGGTTGCTCTGTGTGAATATTTTTGCCTTTAAATGCATCTCGTCGATATCTTTACCTTTTAATTAGCTCTGTGACATTGACATTGGTTGACTCCTGGTACTCAATGTTAAAAACATAAAAGGAACCAAAGAAAACACAAAGATGTCTGCAGAGAAATTTAGCTTATCATCAATGCATTGTCTCACTTTCTCCTCAATACTGACCATACATATACCGAAACTGAGAAGTATATATATATATATATATATATATATATATATTTAGCAACAGAAAGCATCAGAGTACATGGGGTAATAATGGTTGAGCAGTAATTTACCATTTATTATCACAGTAACTATCTGTAATGGATACATAAAGTAAATTACTGTAATTTATTCTTTGCACTACAAAATTTCATACAAATCCTGCTCCTTTTACAGTAAAATACTGTTTCCTTTTATTACAGCAAAACACTGGCTATTTTACAGTTATTTACTGCATAATCTACAGTAAGGGTTAACAGTGTGTATAAAGCTGAGCAGATTTAGCCAAATCAAAATATTTCACAAAAGCTATAGATGATTGTTTTGTTGTGTTTTATTTTATTTCAGAAACTATGCAATAAAAACAGAAATGTTTTTTGGACTGATTTGACCAAAAAATAAACTTGAAATTTTCATGTTTACAAGTTTAAAACAATGCATTGAATTAACAAGTGTTTGCATTTTAAGGACTTGAATTGCCAGGATTTGTATTTTAAGGTCCTGAAGTTTAACACAGCTTTTTATTTAAGCTGTGAATATTTCAGCTAAAAGTATTTCACACACATTTTCAAAAACTAAACTCAATACTTCATATTCACCTTCCAGAATTCACTTCCAAAATATTCAGTTTTATTAAAAAATATGATGTATAATATTCAAAAAGGATTGTTTTAGTTTATAAATATTTCAGTTTAAAAAATTAGCTTCCAGGGTGACGCGGTGGCGCAGTAGGTAGTGCTGTCGCCTCAAAACAAGGTCACTGATTCAAGCTTCGTCTGGGTCAGTTGGCGTTTCTGTGTGGAGTTTGCATGTTCTCTCTGTGTTCGCGTTGGTTTCCTCTGGGTGCTCCGGATTCCCCAAGTCCAAAGACATGCGGTACAGGTTAATTGGGTAGGCTAAATTGTCCATAGTGTATGAGTGTGAATGGATGTTTCCAGAGATGGGTTGCAGCTGAAATAGCATCCGCTGCATAAAACGTGCAGGATAAGTTGGCGATTCATTCTGCTGTGGCAACCCCAGATTAATAAAGGGACTAAGCCGAAAAGAAAATAAATGAATGAATGAAATTTAGTCTTTCAAATTCAAAACTGTAAGAAAAGCAATAGAGTGCAGATTAACAATCTCCTGTTAAGGGGGTAAATAATTTTGAAAACTCAAAATGTGTATCTAAGCTAAGCATATAAAATAGTTCAGATATAAGCAAGATATTGGTATATTTGTCATTTTGATTAAGTAAATTAGATTTTATTTTTTGGTTTCATTCACTTATTTCCATTTTTTCTTGTGTAGGTCAAGAAAAAAACGATCAGGGGGGGACAGTACAGAAGCCTCTACCATCCAAGAGAAATGTTTTGCTCCTCGTTTTATACAAGTGCCTCAAGATGTTACTGTTGAAGAGGGACGATTCTGCAGGATTGATTTTAAGGCAGTTATCATTCTTTTTACTAATATAATAATATCACCTCTATGCATATATCTTAACTGCAGTGTTTGCAAGATATGCAACATCTCACTGCAACGTTCCTGCTCTTATAAGTATATGTCCTTGAGTACATTTTTTATTTAATTGCCTGAAAATGTAGTTTTTTAATATATAAAATATATAATATAGCATTTTTGCTTTTCTTCTTTTTTCTGCAGGTTGTAGGTTTGCCAACCCCAGATATATCTTGGTATCTGGATGGGAAACCCATTCGACCTGATGACTATCATAAGATGCTGGTGTGTGAGAAAAGTGTCCACTCCTTCATTATTGAGATTGTAACCATTCATCATGCGGGTTTATATGAATGTATTGCAAAGAACCGTGCTGGACAGAGCCAATTCTCCCTACATTTGGATGTGATTGGTAAACAGTTTTTTTTCCCCAATCAGTATACTGTTTAGAATGATTAAGCATGACTAAACAATGCATTTGTTTATTTGTGTTTATTTTCTTTATTTCTTTCAATTGCCTTGCGAAAGTATTTTTAGAAAATTAACAGATTTTGTCATTTTGCAAACATGCTGCAATAAATGTTACAATGGTTTCTTGATGATTCTTATACAAATCAAATTGTTCACTGTATTTCCTCAGCTCAGGAACAATTATGTCCTCCTACATTTGTAGTGAAGATGAAGAACTCACATGCAATGGAGGGTGATGCTGTTAGGTTAGAATGTAAAGTGAATGCATCTCCAAGCCCTCAGCTATACTGGAAGAAAGACAAAGAAATGCTGCGTATTGACCATACGAGAATGAGGTATTTGTTGTTCATTTTTTAAAATGCATGTAGGTGCACGTAAACAAACACCTTGTTACAGCTATTTTTTATTATTATTATTGATCTAGGCAGTCTAGAGATCTTACAATGCTGTTTTTTGGCGATTGATTAAAAAAAAAAAAACGGACTAGATTTTTCTAGTAGATTTTTCAAACATTGATACATTTTTATAAACAGTTTGAGTGACAGCAGTTGTCAAAGTGCTCAGTATAAGTAGGCCTAACATACATTATGTATTTTGCGAAATGTTGGGTAGTATGCAACCGGTAAACACTACAACACATGAAAAACCACCCCTAGTGGTGACATTTTTACAAGCCTCTAAAACCATGCATCATACATGCATCGAGTTTCATACCGATTGGCAGTCATTAACCTTGTTTATTAGGTTCTCAAATTTTAATTGGCTAATGGAAGCCATGATGTAATGTCTCCATGGACAAAGACATAGCATACCAAATTTCAAGCTGATCGACCTAATGGTTGCTAGCTTAGGGACATTTTTTTATTTTATTTTTTTTACTTACAGTCCAATTTTGTTTATGGATGTAAGTTTGTCCCTTGCCTCAGTACAGCATAGGGAGGGGTCGATGATGTGGGTAATGGAAAAGAATTAAATGAAGTGGCTGAGCACAATGTGTGTTTTTTGTCTTTTGAGAGCATCCATGGAGCAAAGTCTATTGTAGCATTTGTTTATGCAGTGTTCAAGGTCTGAAATGTAATCCAGTTGTAAATTGTGGAAGGCTTAAATGAGAGAGACATGCTGAAAAAAAGTCTGAGAGGAGTTGGTTGACTTCTAGCAGCAGCACACAGGCATGCTGAATCTCATTTGTATACACAATTTTTTTTTTCATTATTTCTTGTTTATTTAGACATTACATACTTACATTAATCAGAATCCCTGCAAAAAAAAATGTACAATCAAATTCAAGGATTTGATTACCTGAAAAATAAAATGTATGCAATTACCATGTAAACAATGTCACAGACCTTGCAGTCTACAAGTATATATGGTACGAGATCAGAGTGTGCCAAAAGTTGTGATTTGCTTGAATATGCTTTCAGTCCAAAACATAAAAAAAATAAAATAAATTTTGTGTGTGCTAGAATAAATTTTTAAAGAATTAATTTTTTTTTTATTTGGATATGATTTGTTTGTTTGGTGTGTCAGTCTTTCTCAGGACAGTTCAGGAAAGCAGTGCCTGGTCATTAACCCAGTGATGAAGTCTGATGCTGGCTGGTATACTGTTTCCGCTATTAATGAAGCAGGAATGTCCACGTGCAATGCCAGGCTTGACGTAGCCAGTAAGTACACTTAATGTGTTTACCTTTTTTTATGTTTTGAGAATTGTTTGTTGTATCACATTACCACAGCTCTTCATCACATAAATTACGATGGAGACATGACTTCTAGATTTGTAAACAAACCGCTTATTTTAAAGTTTATTAAAATATACAAAACATCTGTTGTTTGACCTTATAGTATATGGATACATTTGAAAAAAGCTGCCATTGAAATATGCACACAAATTTATTTTGATTAAAGTTTGATTCATTGTGTGCTTGGATAAAGCATCTATAATATTTTATATTAAAAAAATACTATGAATTCTGATGTAATTTCAACTTTAAACAACAATTACCCCTTTTCTTCTAGCGCGATTGAACAAGACAACCCATCCTGCTAGGCCACTCAAAAACCTTCCCATCGTAAACCAGTTTTCCACACTGTGCCTTGACCCTCTTGTTCAGCACACTGCCCCTCTTTATGAAAGTGAAGAACTATAGACATTCGCCTGTCATAATGTATGCTGTGAATGACATCTTTTATTATGCTTTTTGTTATTGTTGTTCTTGTATTGTAAGACTGCAAGCAATCTCTGATGCCTTTAACTCTTCACATATTAACAAGACAAACTCACACAAAGTGAAGCTGCAGGAAAGCTTTCTGTCCTCACCTTCCTTCACATTTGTTTTCTGTTCCCTACTTTCTATCCTTTACCCACTCTTACCTTCATGGTTCACTTTAGAATGACTATATATAAATGTGCAAATGTCCCTTGTTAATGTACGTGATTTTAACAGAAGTGTTTTTTATCAGTAGTCTGAATTGTGTCTAAAATTTATGAGCATGCGTCACCCAGTGATTGAAAGTTCATTGTTTGTGTTTTATGGTGTTTTATTACAAATGTTTTTTATGGTGGATTTATGAGTTCTGTGACCAGTGATTGACAGTACACCGTCATTGGCCTTATGTTACTGTTTTAAAAACCTCTCTGGAACAGTGACAATTAAGGGGTTAAAATCACAGGTGGCTTATTTTATAATCTGACGTTCTACCATATATAATAATCTGACATTCTTGATTAAATGCCTTGTGTGTATGTTCTTTTACAGTTTACCTCTGTGTGGCACAGATTACAATAAATAAACAAATAATAAAATTTGTCAAAAAACAACACAAATGTAAACAGCTTAAATTTGGGTTTACCCAAAATTCTGTCATTCATTTTCCTTCAGCTTAGTCCCTTTATTCATCAGGGGTTTCCACAGCGGAATGAACCGCTAACTGATCCAGCATATGTTTTACCCTTTCAGCCACAATCCAGTACTGGGAACCCAAAATTAAGTATTCTCAAAATTGTTTGTATGCTCAGGGCAGTACTGCGGCGTAGTGGGTTGCCTCACAGCAAGACGGTCACTATTTCGAGCCCCGGCTGAGTCTGTTGGCATTTCTGTTTGGAGTTGGTATGTTCCGGTTTCCCCCACAAGTCCCTATCCCTAAGCTAAAATTGGCCATAGTGTATGTGTGTGATCGAGTATGTATGGATGTTTCCCAGTTATGGTTTGCAGCTGGAAGGGCATCCACTACGTAAAACATATGGTGGATAAGTTGGCGGTTCATTCCGCTGTGGCGACCCCAGATTAATAAAGACACTAAGCTGAAAAGAAAATGAATGAATTAATGTTTGTGAACTCAACAAATTGGTAAAAAGTGTTGATTTATTATCTAAAGCAAGATTTTGTGCACATCTAGATAATGTGGCTAAATAGATAATGGTTGTCACGTGGAAAACTGCCCATCGCTGGTCACAGCTAAGGGTTATTGCACAAAAGCAAGATAAGGGAATAAGCTGGGATTTTCAAGATATCCTGACTGAATTTAGCCCTGACTCGGTTGCATGAAAGCAGGTAAAAAATTAAGCTAAATTAAAGAGATATAATTGGACATGTTATCATTTACTGTTTACATGTTTCCAACCTTTATGAGTTTCTTTTTTTCTGATTATTTTAACTAATTTATTTTGTTAATTAGATAAGTGTTCAGTGAACAATTTTTGAGATCAGGATTCCTTTATTTATCTTGGTAGAACAGTCTTGGGTGAGCTGACTGGTTATGCAAATATGGCTGCCAAGTGAGTAGACTGTGCCAGGAAGAGATTTTGGTAAAACACACTCCCTCATCTCCATGTAGAAAGAAAATGGATAATTTACTGTAGCGGAAGGGCTGTACAGAAAAAAAACTGGCCTGTGCAATGAATTCATTGTTGCAACATAGGCTCATTCTGAAAACGTAGCCCTATTTACATTTCTGGAAATCGCAAATTATGTAGCCAGAGGTACGTATGGTTGCATTTTGTTTTTAAAATAAATGCTACGGGGCAGTATGATGCTGTTCCTTTTTGCTCTTGCCAGCTGATCGCTTACCTCTGTATGGACGGCTTTTTTGCTGTTACCAGTTTGTCCAGTTTGGCTCGCCGCGTAGATTGGTGGACTTAAGATGCAGAGAAGAGTTGACAGCGACAACAGGGGTTTGAGTTCGGCAAAGAATGGTTCCAGAAAGCAGGTAAGACAGAAGCAATAGGCCAAAAATAAAATAAAGAAGTAAATACCAGGTTGAGAATGTGGTAAAATCTGAAAACATGGTAAAAATCAGGCGGACATGAGGGCTTTTGAAAACACTGGTGGTTGGGGTAAGGGAAGCGGGTAGGCTGATTAACGGTGTGTTTGAAAACACTATTAGTTGGGTTTAGGGAAGGAGGAGAGTGATTAGTCAGTCAGACGACAGCGCCCTCTGATGGATTTATATGAGACAGGCTGGCAGGAATGGCACTCGCGGGTGAAGTTTGAAATCTCAAAACGCGTACACAGTGGCTTCTGGTGGATTCGCAAAACCAAAAAATGCAAAAAAAAAAAAAAAGTACCTCCTGGGACTTATTTGGTACTTTCTAGAAATGTATATGGAAACATTTTAGGGCTACGTTTTTAGAAATGCATTTATGCACAATACAGATTTGCATGTTCTTAAAACAATCATTTAATAGTGTGAAGTGAATTTGTTGTTCATGTTCGTGTCTGTGACATTAATTGTGCATTGCTATTATACTTGGTAGTTTAATGTGTGATTAAAACTTGTGCAATGACTGCATTGAGTCATTTTCACTGTTCAAATCCTTTTCCCACAATCCCACAATAAAACTGCATGTGCTCAAGAGAATACAATCAATAATGATTTAATTCTTCACGACACTGATGAGGAAAACAAGTATTGATTCATTAGTATTGATCAGGTTAGAGGGCTTTTCATAGCACAAAAATCCCCAACTAGTCCTATCAGTACTAGTACTTTAAGCTCATTCTGAAAATGTAGCCCTATATACATTTCTAGAGATCACGAACTATGTAGCCAGATAAATGTATGGCTGTATTCGTCTTTAAAACGAACGCTATGATTGGTAAGATGCCGCTCCTTTTCACGCTTACCAGCAGACCGCTTCCCTCCATGTGGACAGCTTTTTTGCTGTTTCCAGGTCGTGCAGTGGCTCATGCCATACATTGGAAAATTTGAGATGCAGAGCAGTTATGTGTACTGTGTCGACGGGGTTCACGTCCGGCGAAGAATGGTTCCAGAAAGCAGGTATGACAAAAAAATAGCCAAAAAAAAAATTTAAATAAACAAGTAAATAACAGGGTGAGAATGTGGTAAAATCTGAAAATGTGGTAAAAATCTGGTGGCAGCGAGTGCTTTTTTTTCCTGGATTGCTTTTAAAAGCACTGTCAGTTTCGTTTAAGGAAGTGGGTAGGAGCTGGTCAATCTGTAATTTTTAAAGCACTATTGGTTAGGTTTAGGGAAAGAGGAGGGTGGTCACTCTATCCACCTGTCAGTCGACAGCAGCCTCTTTTGGATTTACGTGAGAAAAGCAGGCACGAATGGCACTTGCGAGAAAAAGTTGAGATCTCAAAAAGCTTACACAGTGGCCTCTGGCAGATTTGCTTAAACAAAAAACAAAAACAAAAAAAAAAGTTCCTGGGACATATTTCGCGCTCACTATAAATGTACTGTATATAGGGGTACATAATCAGAATGAGCATGGGTTGAGTACAATGATTTTACAGTAATAAAAACAACATGAACCACAAACACAAGAAATTTGTATTAAAATATATTTATGGTTCTGTTGTTATACTTTATATTGTTACTAATGTTATATAGTTTTATTTGTTCTTAATGTCTTGGTGTTCTAAATGTACATGATGATCTACAAAAGATAAGGTTGTTAAAATTTTTCCAGACAGTATTGTTTTAATTAATGAAAATAAATTTGAAATAAACTCAGATTACACTCAACTCAAGCTACTGTCCGATGTACATCTCTAAGAGACAAACCTTTTAACATTATTAATATTATTTGTGCAGCACTAGAACTTTCTGGCACTGTTACCACAATGTGCAGTGTTTTTTTTTCTGGGCTGTAATTTCTATTTATAGAAAACGTAAAGTTTAATTATTATCAAAGCAATTATTGCAATGAGGGCTGATTTAAGGTGTGACTATACATTTTTCTTGTGCTTCTAATAATTTTATTTGGGGATGTCTGCCCACAATATTCTACTGTGTTGTGTAATTTTAGTTGCATGTTTTGGCAAACTTCCCTGTAAGCAATTAAAAACATTGTATAAAACATACTTTTGTGATGCTTTGTATTTTGTTCTCTGTATGGACATGCCTGTTTAACAGACAGTAACTCTATTACTTATCTTCATTTGTAATGCTCAGGAAATTATAATTAATTCATTTTCTTTTTGGCTTAGTCCTTTTATTAATCAGGGGTCGCCACCACAGCGGAATGAACTCCCAACTTATCCAGCATATGTTTTGCGCAGTGGATGCCCTTCCAGCCACAACCCATCACTGGGAAATACCCATGCACACTCATTCACACACAAGCACTAAAGACAATTTAGCTTACTCAATTTATCTATGGCGCATGTCTGGATTGTGGGGGAAACCGAAGCACCAGGAGGAAACCCTCAGCAATTGTTTCCAGTGTAGTCATTCAACGTGTACCGTCATATCACTGATTCATCATGCGGTGTGAACACAGCAGCAACTAAATCCTACCCCATATGATCACACAGTGTGAAAACAGCGATCCAGCAATTTTGAAAATCATGCGGTGTCAACTCACCATAGGTGTGTTGAAGAAGGGTTGAAACTAAACTCTGTAGAGCTGTGGCCCTCCTGGAACTGAGTTTGACAACCCTGCCCTAGTGAAGTACCAACAATGAAAATTTCTCCCATTATTTTACAACTATAACACAACTTGTTATAATTACTACGTATTTGGTATTTGTATTTTTTTAAAAGAGCCAGGCAGCACAGCTATGGATACCAATGGGCAGCAGGCACATATTTCTTTTCAGTGTATCAGAAGAATAAGTACAGGAAAGACAAATATATCCAGTGCCCTCAGAGGCATGACCTGTTCCACTGTATCTTTTGCAAGTTTAATGTGTATGTAAAACTTGCCATGTATGTTTGTAATGTGGCAAAAAAACACATGTAAACTGTTTAATTAGTGCTAATGCACATATATGCAATCTGTTATACCTCTTTTACTGTGATATTTGTGATATATTTTTTAATGACAGGGGAGCAATACACTTCAAAAACCCATCTGTTTCCACAGGTTGATATTAATTTATGTCTGTGTCAACAGATACTAACGAAAATCCAACTGAAGTCTTTGATGTCATCTGGCCGTAGAATCTTTTCTACACAGTGTGTGCACATCTAAATATGTCATCTTCTGGACGTTAATATGTGTCTGCTTAATTCAGGTGTTGTATTAACCCTTACATGCACATTGTAATAGGCAAGTTAAGGTTCTTAAAAGGGACAAATTCAGTCAGACCTGAACGTTTTTATAATATTGCAATCACATGTAATTTTAACAATGACACATTTGTACACTTTTGAAATCACATTTTTTTAATTGGGCAAATAAAAAAAACATCCGAAACAGTATCAGAACTAATAAAAACACGCAGCAATGTTGAAAAAATCATTTTAAAATAGTGAAAAATATATGCATATAAATAAATAATGTATGAATCATTTTCTTTGTATCCCCATAGATGTTTAAGATGCTCTGCCATTGCTGCATCAGTTTTTTTCCAAGAAGTCAAGCCCGACTCCCAGGCAGCAATTGGCTGACTACTTATGCAGTTCAAAGGACATAACTGTCCCGGTAGGCGCTTACTAATACCCAGAGTTAGACCACAGGGCAGATGGCCATTCAAACCAGGCAAAGACCTGAACAGTCTCATTTAGGCTGGCATCTAAAACAGCTCTCTGTGCTGCACACGTGCTTGCAGAGGGCCCAGGTGAAGTGTGAAGAGTTTATCTGAGGTTGAGGTGTCATGAGACATGATGTGCGCCACCTTCTGGCTATCCTCTGGGAAATATGCATTGTTTGCCTGCATCAGACACAGACAGACAAAACCTTTTAGGGTCATAGCCAATGGCAGTCATGTGGCTCCAGGGACATTACATGCATATTCACGTGTGTCGGTGAAAATTGGTCTCCCTGGAATCCCCATGCTAGACCACATGGCTTGAAAATATTGATTCAGGTATTTGCAGGTACTGGGTCTTAAGGTAAAAAAAAGGTGGCCTGCCTTCCACCAGGAAGACCAGACCGCAGGTCCTAGAACCTCTGGAACTATTCTTTGTTAAGAGATAACTGGGCAGCGCCAAAGGCTCAGTTGTACTTATGCGTCATGATCTGCCATGGAACAAGCAGAAAAAGAGAGAGAAAATAAGAGGTGAGTGAGTGCTTATTACAGGTGTCCCCCAGAGCCAAGGAGTCACACTCATGTTGATGAAATAGACAAACTCGTCCAGACTTCTGGAGGCCTCTTTGACCTCCTGGATGATTCGATTGTGGAACACGCCACAGCAGTGTCCAGAGATGGAGCTCAGGTAACCAGTCAAAAATCAATGAATTGCCAGTGCTGTCAGATCAGGCAATAGCAGTATCCCCATAAAAAGCGATTAGACAGATTTAATCAGCACCAGCAAATTCTAACATCAAATAACATGAATGAATTAACTGTGAGTCGTTGGTGCCCCAAAGCAAAAAAAAAAAAAAGTCAATGTTCCCATTCAGGACATCTGGAAAGGGGATGGTGAGTATATTTTCCAACCAAGTCTATGTACCCGCTGTCCCCCATTCAGGACATCTGGTGAGTTCTCTAACTAAAGTAGAAGAGCAGGGATTTTTTTAGTGGTCTGGTTGCAGCTTACCAGTCTGCACTTGGAGATAAACCTGCTTTCTTTTGCCTGCTTGGTTCGCACTTCATGCACCACCACATTTCGGCGTATGCTGCAAATCAGAGCCCTGACCTCCAGCCCTTTTCACAACTAGGGCAGTGCTGGCAAGGTGACAGGTCAGTGGGATTTCCGGTCCAGGCAATCAGGGTACTAGGTCACGTTCTTCAGGTAGTGCTGGCTGGTAGGATTCAACATTCGACACAATCGGCGGGAATCAGTCACCCTTTTCTGGGGTTCATTTCAGCTCTTAAGGGCATATGGAAAAGGGCATTTAGGGCCTTTACTTGAGTCAAGTTTGCCTGGGAACCAGTCACCCTTTTTGGGGTTCGTTTCAGCTCTTAAGGGCATAGAGGGACTTTCATTGTCTTTCCTAAAGACCATCTTGCCCGGGAATCAGTCACCCTTTCTGGGGTTCATTTCAGCTCTTAAGGACCTGTGGAGAGAAACTTGCTGGGCTTTTCCTCGAGACCAGCTTGCATGAAAATCTATCACTTTTTCTGTGGTTCTTTTCAGCTCTTAAGGGTCTCTGGAGAGGGACTTCCAGGACCTTTCCTCGAGTCCAGCTTGCCCGGGAATCAGTCACCATTTTAGGGGTTCATTTCAGCTCCTAAGGGCCTCTGGAGAGGGACTACCAAGACCTTTCCTTGAGTCCAGCCTGACTGGGAATCAGCAACCCTTTTCAGGTTTCGTTTTAGCTCTTATGGGCCTTTGTAGAGGGACTTCCAGGGCCTTTTCCCAAGTTCAGCTTGCCTGGGAATCAGTTACTCTTTCTGGGGCTCATTTCAGCTCTTAAGGATCTCTGAAAAGG